GGGCCTCCACATCCCCAGACTGACCCTTGCTCTCCCCAGACCACAGGCAGTGTGCCAGGCAGCCTCCCCACCCCCATAGCCGCCCTCCCCAGCTCCATGAGCTCAGGTGTCTGGACAGTGGCCTCGGGGAGAGGACGGGATTCAGTCCTGAAAGGGCAGCTCCATGCAACCCTGATGCCAAGCCCCTGCCAGCTGAGTCCCCAACCCGTGGGTGCTGTCTCCGTATGGCTGGCTCCAGAGTCTCCCCCGACATGAGAAATAAACTATTCTACAGACACTAGAGTCTGGAGACTCCACTTGGTAGACAAAGGACAGTGCATTATATTTTCAATTAGCTGTTCACTTCTTCCCCACGCTTGCTAACCAAGATGCAAGAAGAAAAGGCTAATTTTAATCATGAGCTTCTCTTCTCCACTAATGGCGTCAGGCTCTGGTGCCTTTATTGCATATGGGCTCTGCAGAGAGACTTCTGTGCCACTTTGAGGCAAGGGTCAGGACTAGAACCCACAGCCCCCAACAAGACCCAACAAGGAGTTACACAGCCTCCCTCAACCTCCGACTCAAGGTTTCTGAACCCTACCTGTAAGGTGCAGACATTGAACCTTGTTTAAGGAATAAACCCTGCCGTAGGGAGCTCCTGGTCTGTTGGAAGTCACCCAGCTCCTGTCCTCAGGAAACTCTCAACCTACTGACAGAGTGTCAGGGAATGCCTTAAATGACTTTCCTCAATCTGGGCTTTCCCATGAAGTATGGAAGAATGTTATTGCCTAATTATCTTTATTAAGAGCAATAATAATTGCTACTATTTATTAAGTACCTACAGTGTGCCAGATACTGCACAAACTTCTTTTATGCAATATCTCATTTAACCACAACAACCCTTTGAAGTGAGTACATATACTGTTACCCCTATCTTATAGATAAGGTAAGGGAAACTCAGCACGGTTAAATAACTTAAGTAACCTAAACTAGCACTGATGGTAAGTGGTAGGGCCAGAACTCAAACCCAGAGCATTATTCTTAACCACTGTGCTATGCTTTGCTTAGCAAAGGTGACAGAAGGAAAGGTACCAAGGAGAGAGACCCCCAGGCCCTGGACCCATGGGCCGGGATGCACCTTTGATGTTGGGGGGTGCCAGATAATAAGGGCAGGTGGGTGAAAATTTCTTTCTGAAACTGGGTGACACCTTCAGGCCCTTCCAGAGACACTCGGGACATACTCGAGGGGTTAGAGATGCCAAGGGCAAGGCAGGCTTGGGCCAAATCCTCTGCCATGAATTCGAGCAAATATATTTGCCCGCACAACAGGGCCAGGGCTCTGCTTGCTCCGCCTACACTGAGGGCACAGAGATCCGCTAGGTGTTCTGTCTAGGACAAGTGTCTGAGTGTACCCACATTATAGATGTGGCAAAGGGGCTCCTGGATTCTTCATTTCCCCCCACCCCAGGACCCCTACAGTGGCACTTTTAACACGGTGTTAAAATTGTTACAATGCTTGTCTGTTTCTTTCGTCTCTGCTTTTAGGCAACTCTCGCTTTGAAGGTGCTCAGTAAATCCAGGGTCGATGAATGGCTGCTTGAAGGTAACTCAAAGACTTCAGGTTGAGCTGTGTTCTTCCGAAGTCTCCAGCCGTCAGTGGGAGTCCAGCCTAGCACAGGGTGCAAGGACTATCGTCCCAGTCCTGCGCTCCCGGCTACCTTATCCGCCACGCTAACTGCCACTGGGAGGCCCGCGCTGCCCGCCAAGGACACCCCCGCCCCCGGGGCTCTGGCAGCCCAGCCCCTCCTTTACTTCCTGTCCCTCTAACTAGGGGACAGGCCCGTCGGAGTCCAGGACCCAGCCCCTCGCCTCTCCTGGATCCCTCTAAGCCGGCGTTCTAGGAGGGGAGACGAAGTGGCCAGAAGCTTCCACGTGGGGGCGCTGGAAGGGCGCCGGAAAATCTGAAGAGGGGCCGCGCTGGCGTCATAGGGTGGAGGAACCCACATCGCCACCTGTCGGCTGTCCCTTGCCCCCGGGCCCCCACGAGACAGCCATGACTCCTCCCTGGAACCCTTCCCTCCTGCCTCCCCTCCCGGCGCCGCGGTTCCCGGCTCTCTGCCGTTCGCGTCCCTCGGCTGAGGTGAAAGCGCCTGGAGCGGCAGGGAGATCCGAGTTCGAATCCCAACTCTGCCACTGAACGGCTGGCGGCCCTGCCCAAAGCACGCACTCAGCCTCCCCAGGCCGGCCTGTCAAATGAGGCCCCTCCTGCCACCGACTTCGGACAGAGTGGGCGCTCAGGAAACGTCAGCTTCCTGCCCGCATCCGCCCTCCTCTCGCGTTTCCCTCTCCTCGGTTCTCCTTCAGCATTCTTTTTTTTTTCTCTCTCTCTGCTTCCTTTTAAATTCCTCCCTCCCGCGCCCTTTCTCTTCTGGGCTCCACAATCTTAGCCAAACCGCAGCCTTTAGCAATCCTGCGCGCCCACCCGGCGCCCCAGGAGCCTCGCCGCGGGCGCGACCCGCCCCGCGGCCAGACCGCCACCCGCGCCCGCCCCCGCCCGGCTCCGGGGTGGGGTCGCCCGGCGCTGTCCCGGCCCCCCGGGCATCGGCCGGTCCCTGCCGCGCGGCGCCCAGCCCACCCGCGGGCCGCGAGCGCGGGCGCACCGGCGGGCCGTGCCCGGGTGGCCGAGGGCACCGGGCGGGGCGGCGGGCTCGGCCCCAGGACCGCCAGCGCCAGCCTGACCGCAGCCCGAGGGCGACGCTGCAAATAGCCGCGGTTTCCAGCCCGTGCCCTGCCTCCCTCTCGGCCTTCCGGACCTTTGGGGTTTTCTCTCCCTTCCTCCGGTCGCCTCTCCTTTGTGCCCCTTGCCCCGGGCCTCGTCCCCGCCGCGCGCCAACCACATCCTTCCCCACGCGGGAAGCTGCTGGGGAGCCGGGGCGGGAGACCGGCGCGGAGGCCCGGGTCCCGCAGGTCTGCTAAGCAAAACAATTAACTTGGGATTCATTGAGCGCGTGCTGCATGCCAGGCATTGCGTTGAGCGCTTTGCTCGCAGGAATTCCTGAAAACTTCACCACGCCGTAGGAGGGGCAGCTTCAATTTGCAGATGGAGAAACCGAGGCTCAGATAGTCCTTGAGGGCTAAGGTCACCCGTTGGCACCTGCAGAATGGAAGGCCATCTCCCCGGCCGCGGGTCCAGGCCCTGACTCTGGCTCCAGCCGGGTGGGCAAGGCCCTGTGGGAGGTGGGAAGGGGCCGGCCCGGGGTCCTGGAAGCTGGTCTGCAACTGACTCTCAGTGTCACCTACAGCAAGTCTGGCCTGCCTCCGTTTCCCCATCTGTGAAATAAAGGGGACGAAAGGAGAAACTTTGTCCTAAGGAAGAACTTGTGAACAACAGTGGAAAGCCCAAAATGGAATGTGAGGCACGGAGAGTACTGCCTCTGGGAACTTCACCTGGAGGCTGGTAACTGCCTCCCTGCAGTGTCGAGAGAGACCCACAGGGGGAGACTGGCTGTGCGGGAATTAGGCCGAGGCTGAGAATCTGCATTTTAGCAAATACAGGATTGGAACCCACCAAAGGGATTCCTGGGAGGGGACAGAGAGGGAGTTCCTTCCCCAAATGCTCCACCCACACTTGTCTTTATTTATCTCTGCCTGGGCTAGCCTGGACTCAGAGCACACGTTTATTAAGGACCTACTGTGAGCAGAGCAAGGGCTGGCTGGCACCTCTGCTCGCAGCCTCCCTTGTGCAGGACACGACCTGCACAACCTCTCACAGCAGCCAGGGAAAAGCCTCAGAAGATATAAGTGGGGGATGTTGGGGAAAGGGGCCAATTACTTCTTGCTGAAGACAGAAATAGAGACAGAGAAATTCTATGGAGGAGGTGAACATTAAGCTGGATCTTTAAGGATAAGCGGAGTCACCAGGGGGAGAGAGGGGGTCCAGGCAGAGGCAGCAGCATGGGTGCAGGAAGTCTTGGCGTGTCCTGGGAGCAGGTGGCACAGCATGTCCCAGGCAGGGAGGGTGGCGGACTGAAAAGGAAGGCACGCCCTTCCCTTGCTCCCACCTCTATGTGTGCACATGCCAAACTGCACATAGCTTATCTGCCACCCAGGGGTCTGCACAGCTGGATCATGAGCTCCTATAGGACAGGGACAGTGTCTTACTTCACCTTCTGTGGCCCCGGGCCTCAACCAGTGTCAATAATAGTAGCAATAATAATAGCCACCGGGTAGCAAATATTGACCGTCACACACTGTGCTAAGTGCCCCACCTGCATTATCTCATTTCATCCTCAGACTTTGAAAACAAGTGCTATTATTAATCCTGTTTTTCAGACAAGGGTTCTAAGGCTTAGAGGGATTAAGTGACGTGCCTAAGGTCACACAGCTACTTCGTGGTGGAGCTAGAGTTGGAATGCAGGCCTCTCTGACCGCAGGGCCCTTGTTCTAGACTGACAGTGGATAGATGCATGAATAGACAGGTGGATGGGAGAGAGGGAGGCACTAAACAGAGAAGTCCATGCCAGGGAGCTTGAAATTCATGCCAGGACAACAGGAAGACACTGGAAGGTTGTAAGCAGGAGAGACAGGTCGGGTTAGGGATTTACAAAGGGGAAAGATGGTTTAGAGCCAATGGCACTTGAGGTGGGAGGCCAGTTTTTCTGGCATATCCCATTTCCCACTTGTGAGGAGCCTCATTTCTTTAAGCACCACGTTATTTCTCGTAGGGCAGGATGTGTTTTTATGCACACAAGGGATTACTGATGGAGGGAAGTGCCGAGGAAGAGGGCCTTTGAGTAGGGAAGGGGGGACTGCAGAATACTGCTAAGCTCTGGGGAGAACCTGTCTGTGCAGGGGAGCACAGCACCAGGAAGGGAGGAGCCGCACAGCCCCGCTCCCCATTTCCAAGATGAGAAGGTCCCCTCGGGGTTTTCAGCCCGGAAGCTTCAGGCTCCAGGCCCCTCACACTGCCCCATTGTGCACCTGCCACCCGGGAACACAGCCAAGGTGAGGCAGGTGTTGCGTCAGAGTGTTAAGCCCTGGGATCGAATGTTAGGGGGCAGCATTGGAAGAGGTCCTCCCTCCTCCTGCTATCACTGGCCATTCCAACCAGGGAGAGAGTCACAGGAAATGGCCCAGGGCTCAAATAAGCTGATGGAAGGAAGCAGGATGGCCGAAAGGACCAGAGAACAGGGCGAGCTTCCCCCACCTACACTCAGGGAGCCAAAGTGCAGACCGGAGCCTGCTGGAGGCGGGTGTCTTTGGGCTGCCGGGGGCTCCCAGAGGGTTCTAGAACACAGCAGGCTCACCATGCTGGCCTGCTTCACCCTGCTTCTCCTGACGGGGCTGTCCTTGTGCGCTGCGGCAGGTGATGGTGGAAAGGAACGGGCACTCAGCACTGAAGCAGAGCCCTGGGTAACCGTGACCTTGGAGGTACCTTTGGGGAGAGGCTCTGACTTGGGCAGGGGATGATCCAAGGTGGAGGGGTGGAAGATCCCTCCATGGCTGCCAGGAGAGCAGGTTGGACACTGCAAGGCAGCTTGTCTGACGCCCCTCCGTGGGTAGTCTCAAGGCTATGAGCGCTGGTGTGGCAGCGGTGAATGCACATGGGAGCAGCTGTGTGTGTTCGTGTGTGTGTGTTTGTCTATGTGTGTACTAGTTAAGAAACACTAGGTCCAGGCCTGGCAGCTCACACCTGTAATCCTAGCACTCTGGGAGGCCTTAGACGGATGGCTCGCTCAAGGTCAGGCGTTTCGAAACCAGCCTTAGCAAGAGCGAGACCCCATCTCTACTAAAAAATAGAAACAAATTAATTGGCCAACTAAAAATATATAGAAAAAATTAGCCAGGCATGGTGGCACATGCCTGCAGTCCCAGCTACTCGGGAGGCTGAGGCAGAAGGATCGCTTGAGCCCAGGAGTTTGAGGTTGCTGTGAGCTAGGCTGATGCCACAGCACTCTAGCCGGGGCAAAAGAGTGAGACTCTGTCTAAAAAAAAAAAAGAAAGAGACACTTATTTAACTAACACATACTATGTTTCTGGCACTATCCTATATGCTTTATAAACATTAACTCATTTAATCCTCACAACAACCTCATGGGGAAGGTACCATTACTATCCTCATTTCACAGACAAGGAAATTGAAGCACAGAGAGGTCAATTAGTTTGTCCAAGGTTGCATGGCTTCAAAACCACAACTATATACCTTTGGTCTTAGTTGGGAGCTACTAGGACCAGCAGAGACCTGGCTGGGGGTGATGGAAACCACTCTGTCCCTCACAACTTGTCCCACCTTTCAGGCTCAGACGTGAATTTTTTTCTAAGCCTTCGACTAATTCAGTCACTTCCAGTCTGTCTCCCCCCACCCCCACCCCAACATCAGTGGCTTAATCAGACCTTACCAAGGTCTGATTCTATGTCCCTGCACTTCAGAGGATATTTTCTAGAATTTCCTTTCAAGGGGATCAACTTAGGGTAGGGTCACTATTTTGTCTCACGTGTAGAAACTCTTCCTTCAGGACAAATAGTGGTTTCATTGTGGTCTCTTACTAAACTGACCTGAGAGCTGTCACTGGGGCAAGACCAGCATCTGCAATATGCCCACTGCTGCCCGGCAGTCTGAGTGGGAGAGAAAGATCCTGACCTCAGGGAGCTCCTGAGCCCACAGGGGAGAGAGGCCCATGGACCGGAGATAAACACAGATAAATAAGAGACTAGCGCCCAGGGAGGGCTTCCAGGGGCAGACAGGACGAGTCTGAGCCTGGCTCCTCCCATTCCCGGATGGTGAGGATGCTGGCGCTGGCCTTGGCTTGTGGTCCTGGGCCATGGTGAGGTCCTTGGAACCTCTTAGACATAGGGCCACAGGAGGGCCATCGCATGGGCAAGCTTTCGTGGGGGGTCTCATTTCTGCTTTGTCTGAAGTGTGTGCAGTAAGAAGGGAGCAAGACTGGGGACCGGGGTCGAGTCTCAGCTGCTCTACTGACTCTTGCCGCTTTCTGGATGTCAGTTTCCTCACCTGCAAAATGGGGGGGAGAGGGGAGATGATCCCCAAGGCTTTTCTCCAACTTTGACATGCTCTGCAGAGGCAGTGCCAGACATCAGAGTGCCTGGCCCAGAGACAGAGAAGCCGTGCTATGTGCGGGCAGCGGGGGCTTTTATGCAGCCACTTGGGAAACATCATCATACACTTAACTAGTGCTGCTGGGCTTTCCACCCAAGGCAGCTCCTCCTGCAGTTGGGTCTAATCCTTATTCTCCTTTAATATCCCTCTGCTTCCCAAGATGCAGGGCTTGGAATCCTAGAGGAGAGGCTGGGCTAGAAGTCAGGAAGATCTTACAGACACTATGGGATGTTAAGCATTAATACAAATGAGGGCACGGAGGCAGGGAGACACCTTCCGGGATGATCTGATCACCTCCCTGGCTCTCAGGCTCCCACCTGCAGTCATCCCTGGAGCTGGGGATTTGGGGCAGATGGATACGGGCGCTTCAGGTGGGGTCACAAGCCCTCTGGCAGTAAAAGAAACATGTCTCCAAGTGTGTCTCCGCGCTGCCCTCAAAACCTGGTGTGTGGGAGAAGGGTCAGTCCTATTTAATTCATAAACAGCCATTCTCTCCAGCTTGCATTTGAAGGCTGCCTTTTAGGAAGGCAAAGTGGTTTTCACGAGCTTTTCAGAAATGGGTCCAAATCTCCAAAGAGACTTTTCAGGTTCCTGGCCAGGCTGAGCGACTCCAGCCCAAGACAGCCGCCCCCGCCACTGACGTCGGGGTGGGGGTTTCGGGGGAGACAGATTGAAAGTGACTGAATTAGTCCAAGGCTTAGAAAAAATCCGCTTCTGAGCCTGAAAGGTGGGACAAGTTGTGAGGGACAGAGCGATTTCCATTGCCCCCAACCAGGTCCCTGTTGGTCCCAGGAGCTCCAGCACTACTCTTGGGGAAATTGGGGATGAACTAAAGAGCCCCTGGTCCAAACCCAGCTGCCAGCCTCTTGGTAGGTGGCTCGCAGTACTCCAGGGCTCTGTTGCCTGTCTTTAGACCCCACCCCCTTTCCTACACCAAGACTGTCAGAGAGAGAACCCTTCATTCAGTGTCCTATGTCCCCCCACACACGTGGGACTCCTGTGTGTGCCAGGCTCTGTGCCAGGTACTGGGGACGGAGAGATGTGAAGACAGTCTAATGAGTGTCACCTACTGTCACTCTCTTAACTAGAGAGCATCTCTCCCTCTCAACAGAGCTAGGCAGGCCCCCCTGCAGGAGTTCAGAGTGACATTTGGGAGGGAGAGAGCTTTAGCCATGGTCACAGAGGCTAATGGAGGGATGATAATCTAAATCCATAGCCCTTGGTCCAGGACGTTTGTCCCAGCGGCTCGAGGATTACAATGTCTTTGCCCAGGGTGGCAGCCTCCACCCCAGATCACATGCCATGTTCCTTTGAGGAGGCGCAGGCCATAGGGCAGGGTAACTCTGGGGCAATGGGGGAAGAGAGGAGGGCAGAGCTAGAGTGAGGGCCGGGAGGGAACGCAGTCCCACCTTGCCTCTGGGGGGCCCACCCTGAGCTCACTAGCTGCCCCCTCCTCATCTGTGTGGGAGACATTTCCCAAGATGAAACAGAACCCACACTCTGGAATCAGACTTTGAATCCTAGTCCAACCACTTCTTGTGTGACCTCGGGCAAATCCATTGACCTCCTTATATTTCAGTTTTCCTATCTGTAAAATGGGGGAATAATCACAGTCCCTACTTCTTATGGTGGTTGTGAGGATTAAATGAGGGTATGACTGTAGTGTTTCAGAGTCAAGCCTTTGGACCAGATGACCTGGGTTCAAGTTCTGGCTCCCCATTGCCCTTCCTAGCTTGGACAAATTATTTAATCTCTCTGTGACTCAGTGCTTTAATGCGTAAGATGGTGACAATAAAAGCTGTTTTTATGGGGTTTTGGTGAGGATTAAATGAGTTACTATATCAAGAGCTTGGAACAGTGTCAGGAGCATAGTAGGTGAAATGTTAGTTATTAGGCTGGGTGCGGTGGCTCACGCCTGTAATCCTAGTCCTCTGGGAGGCCAAGGCGGGAGGATGGCTCAAGGTCAGGAATTTGAGATCAGCTGAGCAAGAGTGAGACCCCATCTCTACTAAAGAAATAGAACAAAATTAATTGGCCAACTAAAAATATATAGAAAAAATTAGCCGGGCATGGTGGTGCATGCCTGTAGTCCCAGCTACTCGGGAGGCTGAGGCAGGAGGATTGCTTGAGCCCAGGAGTTTGAGGTTGCTGTGAGCTAGGCTGATGCCACAGCACTCTAGCCAGGGCAACAGAGTGAGACTCTGTCTCAAAAAAAATAAAATAAAATATTAAATTAAAAATTTTTTTAAAAAAGAAATGTTAGTTATTAGTTATTATGATGATGTGTGGTATTGCGTAAAATTTGCCAAAGTACCCAGTGCCATCGCAGAGCAAGCGTTTACTAACTGCGAGCTGTTGTCATTGAGACTGTCATTGCCCAGGCTGCCCTCCCGTCCCCTCACCAACCTCCCCCAACTCTCACTCTCTGCTCCTTCAGGAAGGCGCCCCGTCCGTCACCCAGCGCCAGCTGCAGCAGGTGAAGAGGGGCAAGGCGAGCCAGTTCTTCGGGCTGATGGGGAAGCAGATGGGAGGTGAGCGACAAAGGTGGGTGGGAGCCCAGCAGGCAGTGTCCTGAGTTAAAGCCCAGGACTAGGGGTCACATACTGCAGTCCAGACATGGTTGCTCAGGTGATGGGCTGGGGCAGACAACAGTGTGACTGATCATCCAACCAGGACACTTTGAAGAGTGTTAATAGTTTATGACAAGCGACGGGTGTAAATAAAGCAGGCTGTCCCCAGCACGTGGGGAGTGTGATCGCCTGAAGGGTGAGGGCGAATGCTTTGCAGCCTGGCTGGTGCCCTCAGCTTCCATTCTCTGGATGGGCCTGGGGAGGGGCAGGGAAGCTCGAGACCAGCGCCGGTGTGAGCTCAGCCACGAGCCAAGCTTTCTAGTCAATTCTTAAACTGAACCTGTGTTTTCTGAGGGCACTTTCAACTCAGGAGTCCTGTCCTGAGTGGACAAGGAGATAATTGGCAACACCCATCAGAGTTAGAAACACCCACGCCTTTTGACCCACAGTCTCACTGTGGGGCATCTCTCAAGTAGGCAGACTATTGCTGTGTGAGCCCTGAGATGTTTGCAATAGAGAACTCATTGCCCGCTTATATGTAATAGCACGAGTTTGGAAATAATATACAGACTAACAGCCGGGTGCAGTGGCTCACGCCTATAATCCTAGCACTCTGGGAGGCTGAAGCGGGAGGATCGCTCAAGGTCAGGAGTTTGAGACCAGCCTGAGCAAGAGCGAGACCCTTGTCTCTACAAAAAACCAGAAAAATTAGCTGGCCATCTTGGCGTGCACCTGTAGTCCCAGCTACTCAGGAGGCTGAAGCAGGAGGATCACTTGAGCCCAGGAGTTTGAGGTTGCTGTGAGCTAGGCTAACGCCACGGCACCCTAGCCGGGGCAACAGAGTGAGACTCTGTCTCAGAAAAGAAAAAAAAAAAAAAGACTATCAATTGAGTAATGATCAAAATATATTCGGCACATCCATTACCTTTGTGGCAATTAAAAAGGATGCGACAGATCTGTGGAAAGATATGGAAATATCTCCAGGATATATGTGTAAGTGGAAAAAGCAAGTTATAGAACAATATGCATGATGGGAACCTACATGTTTTTTTTAAAAACTGCATACTTATACACATAGACATGCAAATACATAGGGAAAGTTCTAGAAGGATCAATATCAAACTGTAAGCAGTGGTTACATCTAGGACAAGAAGTGGAGATGACGTGGACAAAGTGAGGAGAGACTTTAAATTTTACTGTACAAACCTCTTCATTGCTTGATTTTTTTAAAAGCAGGCATGTATTCAAAGACTGCTTTTGTAATTAAAAAAATATGCACATAAAAATGGAGAAAACCAACTTGTGACCAAACACAAGCCTTAGTTACCTCCTCTACAAAATGAGTTTTGGACTGGGCCACTTCAAAGTTCTCTTCCAAATCCAACAACCCATGAGGAGCAGGGGATGGGGGTGTAAGAGATATATCTCTTGAGCAGCTACTGTGCTCACACAGGATTAAATCTCTGCAACGTCCTCCTCATCACCACCAGCAAAACCAAGACTCAGATAGGGTAAGTGCTTCTCCCAAGGATGCCCACCCAGCTGGCACCAGATGCCAGTGACACCAACGTCTGTGCACTTCCCAGTGCTCCACACTGCCGCCTACTGGGCACACTCCTACTGCCATATGAGGATAACGGGCAGTGACTACAGTTCCAACAGAAGACCCAGGGGGCACTGACACCCACGTAGCCACGAGCCTTTCCCACCTCACCAAGCCCCCGGGGAAGCAGTGAAGTCCTCATTCCTTCTTCCTCCTTCCCGCAGGAGCAACTCGGATCCAGCCAGGGAGAAGAGCAGGTAAACATTGCCCAGCCCTTGCCCTCAGCATGGCCCCAGGGGACAGTTGAGCTATCCTGGCCACTAACAAATCAGGGAGGTGAGAGGACATGCTCCAGTCAGGGGCATGCCAGGCTGGCTTTGCTGCGCAGAGGGTGAGGCCAGTGTGGTTTGGCCACGTTAGTCTTTCTGGTTGTTTCCTTAGAGGGGTGATCTACATATGCCTAGGCAGTGGTTGCAGGGATAGGAGGAGACAGGGATGGATCTAGTTCTGCCACAGTTTCAAAATTACCTTGGGTCTAAAGCCTGGAACTGGAAAAAATGAATCAATCACCAAAGATAAGAGCACTCAAAGCTCCAATCCCCTGTGCCCAGAAGGATCTTAGAAGTGTGAATCTGAGTAGCTGCTAGGCTGCTTAAAACCCTTCAGCAAAACAGGAAAAACAAAATCCAAAGAAAATAAACCAACCCTTGCCCACCACGCTTTCAGTGCTCTCGGGATCAAGTTCAATCCCCTAACATGACTCCCCACATCCTCTGGGGCTGCCCTTGCTGACTTGGCCCCTGCTCCATCTCCAACGCTCCCCTTCCCAGACTGCCAGCCCTATGCAGACGGAGCTTGTCTCCTTGGCATGCTGCACTGCACTGTCCTGCTGGATCACACGGCTGGTGTCCCCAAACAGGAAACCCCCTAATGAGCAGGCATTATCTGACATTGCCTCCATATCCCCAACTCCCAGCACAGTTTCTGCCTATTAAAGAAGCGCCTGCTAGGTGTTCCTGGAGAAAGAGCAGAAGGAAGAATGGAGGAGTGGGGGAAGGAGTCAGGGAATGAGCCAATCCTTGGTGTTTCCTCAACTCCAGGGATGATTAAGAAGTGACTCCATTTGCAAGGCCCGGCCCCAGCCTTCCCTGGCTCCCAAGACAGCCTCTCTCTGCTGCCTCTCACCCCCCTTCTCTCTCCAGCACCAGGGTATCAGTCAGAGCAAACGGTCCCGGGCCTCCTGGGCAGGAGAAGACCGTGCACAGCAGGTAGGCGTGGGCCTCTGATGATTACCAGGGCATCATAGGACGGTGACCAGACACTTTGTTGCCAGTCTTCGGGGTTGGGGAGCAGGCAGCTGGACAGACAGAATAGGCTCCGCACAAGCCGTCAGGCGGGGGGCAGTCCAGGTGCATGGCGGTGGTCTGTCTGATGGCCCAGGACTGAAACAGCTGTGGCCCTGCAGCTACACCCTCCCCACACCTAATGCTCCCAGCACCCTCTGCCCCACCTACGGCCACTGAACCCACAGAGAATAATACACAGTTTTCCAGACCCTGGAACCTCCTCCCCCTTATTCCCTCACTGTCCAGAAAGTTCTAATCATTAATGTTACTTGAGCCTTTAGTCTTCAGAGAATTACTGCCCCTGACCATTGTAAGTAAGTGCAAATCACCCTGGCAGGGGTGACACCCTAAGCAGTTATCAGCTCACACCTTCTGGTGGGGGCCATACCCCCAAATGGTTCCCAGGGCCAGGCATGAAAGCAAGTAAATGAATTGGGCTGGGGAAAGGTCATAGCTCACAAGAGATACGCAGCAGGTGTCCCAGGGGGTCGAGGACACTGAGCCCCAGCCTGCCTGCCCTAGTGTGAACCTCTTCGCCCAGAGCTGCAGACCTCTGGCCCTCCCTAGCTCCCCTGAGAGAATACCTGCTCGAGCCCTTCCATTCAAAGAGCCATGGAAGTCACTCCAATACCAAATAGATTGTTCTGATAAGATGAATTTTCATCAATGTAAAAAATATATATATACCAAATAGAAACGAATGTCCCTCCATGCATGGTGTGGGCAGGAAGCTTAGAAGTTGTCATTTGTCAGAGACGGAAAGCTACTTGCCCAAAGTTACACAGTGAGCTGATAACAGAGCCAGGACTAAAAGCTGTGTCTCCTGCTTCCTAGTCCACTGCCTTTCTGTGTCCCCAGGAGGGCCTTTGGGACTTTTGGTTACCCTTCCCTTCTGCTAGAAGAGTAACAGTGGGCTGGTTCTGTCCATGCTCTGGAGGGGTTAGCGACTAATGAAAGATGTGGCAGGTGACCCTGTAATGCCATTGCCCTAGATACCTCCGACAGGAGAAACGGGGTGGGGAGAGGGAGGGCCTTCACCGGGGTGACTAGGGAAGCCTCCAAGGGTGGAGAAGGCAGACGAGACTCTCCTAACCATGTCCGTGTACCAAACTGTCCCCAGGCAGAGAGGGCGAGGACCAAGGTTCAGAGTGAGAGCCTCCACTGCATGCTTCTCGGAGGCTGCCGCCCCTCCCTACCTGGATGTCGAAGCTGACCAGCTGGCAGACCAGACCCCTTCTCCGTGTGTCTCCTGATCCCAACACTGGCATTTCACACAAAGCCCAAACTGAACTCATGGGGCTTTCTCTGGGACTCTCAGTGTCAAGCAGTGTCACACTGTGTGTGAGTGCACAGTGGTCACCCTCTTGAGCTGGAGCGCCGCTGCCCTCCTGCACTCAGAGCCCTCGTCTCACCGCGCGGTGGCAGGAGCCTCGCACACTGTGCACCGCCTGTGCCCAGCACACGGGAGGGCTCAATAAAGGAGTGACCAGTGACCGTGACCGGCTCCTTCTCCAGCGCACGGCAGGGGGCAGGAGTGGCCTCCCTGGCATTTGAGCAGGCCAAGAGGCCTTTTGCAGAATTGCCAAGAGAAATACTAAGCAGCCCTGGTCCTTGGGTGGAAAAACAGGCTTAGGACACAGGAAAGGACAGGTAGAAATGGGAAAGAAGTGGGATAGAGGCTGTGACAAGGTGGAGAGGTACTGCAGGCACCTTGGAGTGGAAGGGATTTGAAGGCAAGGGGTCTTTGTCCCCTTTGGGTTCCTGTGAGCCCCAGCCTGAAAGAAGACACCCTCTCCCTACACGGTCATGATCTCAAGGGCTTGTGTCTCCTGACTTGGAGAAGAATTGGCTCCCAGGTCATCCATAATTCATTCATATAAGGTGGCCCTTCACTAACTGCTTTGCTTTTAGGACAGTTAGCCCCATTCCCGAGTGCGGGAGAGCTCCTGAGCAGTGAAACGGCTTCCGACTGCAGGGAGCCCCGGGCTTATGGGGAGACCACTGTCCCTGCCCTGGTATTAATAGTTTACAGGCAGGTGGGACACAAAGTTTCTCAGGATACTCAGAAAGAGGCACCCCGCATCATGGGATGCTAGGGGCACCCCGGGTGGTGGGCACCCCGGGTGGTGGGCACTGAGGTGTGAACCACAGAGGAGCTGGGGGCCGTGCAGGCCGGCGCAGCGGGAGAGGTGCGTTAGGTCACTAGGCTACAACACGTTTAGCTTCTCCCTGTCCCTCTCTCTGAAAAGAAGGAAATGGGTTAGGAGTTTTTCTGGGAGGTTAATTCTTTGCAGTGGGGGAGGGGGAGCCAGGCTATATTTAAAAGGAGGGGAAGCTGGTGTTGGCACGGAAGGCAGGACCTTCCGCTGGGTGCCAGGAAAGTTTTCAGGAGACTGCTGAGAGGCCAACTGGCGCCAGCACAGGCGGGAAGACTCCTTCCACTCGGCCTGTGGAGAAGTCTCTCTCCAAGGAGGACTGTTCATCGTGAGCCCCGGATGAACCTCAGGCCTAGACTTCATTTTCATACCTTACCGCCGTGTCCAGTGATGGATGTGGGGGTAGGAACAGGGCAAGCCTCCTCCTTGGAGTTTCACACTGCCGGATTTCCCAGTTAATGTCCTTCTCCTTCCCCCTACTCCCAACCTCCTAACCCACCAGGCCTCCTCCCCACCCAGAGGTGAGGTCCCAAGAGGTGGTTCCCTACAATAACCCAACTCAAAAGACCAGCAAAGAGGGCTGAAGACTTTATTCTTGTGTTTGAAGTTTGGAACATTTAGGAAAAAATGAAATTCACCAAATACTTTGTGACTTTCCTGTATGTGCCACACTTTACTAGGAACTTCGATGGACTGGGAATATGATTATGTGGGAATGGAATTTGCCCCCAAAGACATGATGGCCTTATAGGAGAGCCAAGACACACTCACTCGGTACAAAGCCCACATTCTGTTCTCCAATCTTATCTTTTTTCAAACCCACCACATTCACTGAAGTTTCTGGTTTCTGTATATGCCGTTCTCTTTCCATTCTGGTGGAATAGAATTTTCAGTCAATTTCTCTGGAAGATTTTCCAGCCTGGGAACCACCCAATCGCTCCCTCCTTGACATCACCAAAGTGCCTTGCACAACGTTCCTTCAGCACTTACTCTGCGCTACAGCATGGATGATGTAATGAATGGTCTATCTCCCCAGGACAGGCTTTCTCAAGAACATCTCCTTTCACTTTGTAACCTTCAGTGCCAACAATAGTGCTTTGCCACATAAGAGGTCCCTGGAGAGTGTTTAGACAAAGGATTCACATTTCCTGTCCTCAAGGAGTCTGTCTCTAGGGAACCAAACTTAATGCAAGCGAGTTAAATAATAGTGATGCTACTTACTGAACACATATCCCATAGTTCTCAAACTCAACTTGTCCACACACTGAACTTTTGATCCCCTGCCTCAAAGCTACTCCTCACTGGCTTCTGTGTCTCTACAGATGGGACCTCCCTGTGCCCTGCTGCTCAGCTGGAACCCTGGGAGTGAACCTCCACTCCTCACACTGAATACATCATCTCCTAGTTGTTGAATCTTCCGAAACCTATCCTGAATCCATCTACTTCTTGCCATCTCCACTATCACTGTAAGCACAAGCCACCCTCGTTCCTGGTCCAGAGGGCAGTTGCCTCCCGGTAGACCTTCCTGCTTTCCATCTGACTGCCAGCCACCCCCATCCTTTCTCCACCTCAGCATGACCTTTTAAAATGGGAAAATGGATCATGCCCATCCCTTACTGGCCACAGTTCAACGGTGTCGTAGGATAAACATGATATTCCTACAGAGGGCTCCAAGGCCTTGTGCTCTCTGGTTCCTTCCCCTCCCAATCGTCACACTCAGCAGGCTGGCTCTCACACACAGCAAATGATGGCTTGCCTTAGGGTCTGGCCACTGCCCTGTCCCTCTACTCCTCCCCAGGCTAACTCAGCTTTCAGCTCGCAGGATAAAGGCCTTTTTTAGACTTACTAGTCCCCATGCTCAACTAATTCCCTATTATGCTTCCATAACACCCCATCCTTCTCCTCTGTCACACTGATCACAATTAGAAATGATGCAGATTTAGCATCTCCTCCAGATTGCTATTTCCACATCTTTTGTGTAACACCAAATATCCAGCTCTCAGGACCTAACGGAACTTGGATGAATATTCGTTTCCCAAATAAATGAGTGAAAATATGCCAGGCATAATGCAAGACGATTTACTGTCACAATTGTTATCCCCATTCTGCAGATGAGGATAAACCACCTACTTGACGTCACACAAGAAATGGCAGAGCCAGGATTTAATCCCAGGTGATGCCACATATACCAACTCCTACACTTGGCCTATGCCAAGTCTTAGGCAGAATTACAGGCCTATTTGGGTAGGAAAGAAACATTTCTAAGTCTGACCCCAAATACCAGTCCCTCAAGAGGCTCTTTCTAGATCCAATCATTTTAGGAAATGTTATATCCTGTCTTTCTCTGGAAAACCTGGATGCCTGTTGGCCTACTGAAGGTTTTGAGAAGACCTGTAGTCAAGCACCAACCACACTGGTTTTAACTTTAGCTTAGTGTTTTCCAAATTTATTTGACACAGAATCCTTCTTGCCCATACTTTTGTATTTAATGGAACACACTTTCAGGAATGTTGAAGTAGAGGCTTTCCTAGCAAACACAGGAAAGGGGCTAACAGAGACTAATCCAGGTGCAAGTCCAGGCTGTGTGTAAAGGAATTATGACAGCTATGTAGGTCAAGTTACAGAAAGACTTGAAAGCCAGGATAAATGTGAATTGATCCAATGAGCAATGGAAAGCCACATGGATTCTAGAGCAGGGAACTGGTGAGCCATATCTTGATAGTAGAAGGATTTTCTTCACTTTTCCTGATCCACTTAAGGAAGTGGCTAAGAATTTTAAGGTAAGGAAGGGGCCTCAGAAGAAATTTGACTGGCAGCTGATATGCTGAATGACCAAACGGGCTGAATTGACTCCAAGGGTGCCACTTTTGCAGAATATGAACAGTGCCCCTGGAATTGCACAAGGTGGGTGGCCCTCCTCTCGCTTCCAATGACAAGTGAGCAGTTAATGGAACCCAGGAGACCAAACTTAATTCCAGCCCTTCAGTTTCAAAAGTCCCTTCGTTCACTTACCCCTTGCTGTGTATCGGCCATCCCAAAACATGACTTAGAACATTTCTCACCATTCTCTGGGTTGGTATGACTCAGCAGGATGTTTCTTTAGCTTCATGCAGTGTTGGCAGGGGTCATTCATGAGGCTTCCTTCATTCAGGAGTTTGGTTGGGGTTGAACCCTTCAAGACACACAAGTCTGGGGTTTTGGCACCATCAACTAGAGCACCTTGGTTCTCCTACATACAGTCTTATCATTCAGTAATTCAGCCCAAGTTTCTGGTTTGGAAACATGTCAGCTCATGTCCAAGAGCAAAAGTGGAAGCTGCCAAAATATCACTTCCATAACATTCTGTTAGTCAACAAGTCACAAGTTTGGCCCACACTAAGGAAGAAAAACAGACCTCTTATTGGAAGGAGTAGCACACACAGACAGGAATGGGGGCAATTGCTGGTGCCCATCTTTGGAAATGATCTACCACTCCTCTAAATATGTGAGATAAGAGTGTAGGTTTCTGATAACTTTGAAATAGACTGAATATACGGTAAGCTGTTCCCAGAAACAAATACCCAATTAAGACTGGTTTCTTGGAATGAACATGACTTGTCAAGGATAAGGGTGTTTATATCTCACATGGAACATTTGGGAGGAGCCATGGAGATAACATTGCACAACAGCATGGGTTATTTTTTCCACTCTTGGGTACAAGTAAATAAACCCCCAAACCCCAAAATGGTGGCAGCATGACCTGTATCTAAAGGTATTGCTCAAGAGGTAAGAGACAAACTGATGTTTTGGCACCAGGGACATTTTTCATTACTGGCAATCCTTTGTTTCCTTCTTAGTGACATTCATTGGCATTTTGTTAAAGATACCACAAAGGAAGAAAGCTATTATACTGTCCCCATCAGCAGGAGACAGTCTGGAAGAGGTAGTCATACCAAATTTTGTGGCAGAAAGTGCTGGGGAAAAACCAGTCAAGATCCAATTCTATAATTCTATGATCCCAATGTACAGTAAAGGGTAGTTTCTAGAATTTCTAGCACACTTCATACTACTATTTTGCAAAGGAGTTTTTGTATTTTATTCTCATGACATGCAAAACCCTGTACATCTGTACATGCATGTACCTGTAAGGCCTATGAGGCAGAGGAAATAATGGTGACTGCCTCACCAAGACAAGTCTCTCCCTGTCTCATCACTTCACTTGATGGGCTAGCTATTTGAGCCTGAGCACACTAAGTAGCTGAGAGCCTGGGGTCAGAGTGAAGGCAGGCAGGACACAGGGATTCCTGTCATCTTGCTGGGGTCTTTCCTCAAACCAGGGTTTCTTAACCCCATGTCCAGGAATGGACTTCGAAAGGCACAATTTCCTGACAAGTATCTGTGCATATTTTGATAGGTGCAGCTAAAAAAAGCCCAATGTTTTAGTTAGCTTCTCAAAAGGTCAGGGGAATAAAAGGAGTTAAGGATCATGGGTGATCATGAAACTTTGCTTTGACATCATTTGATGTGTGAATTGCCTATCAAAGGCAACTGGCTTGATGCAGACAAACATCTCCATCTGAGGTTACTCCTAACCCTAACCATACAACTGCCCACAACTACAGGGACAAATCAAAGTTGATGACAAGTCAAAAACATCATCTTGTCATATAATGCATATGCCATTGTTAAAAATTACTTAATACGGGCCGGGCGCGGTGGCTCACGTCTGTAATCCTAGCTCTCTGGGAGGCCGAGGCGGGCAGATTGCTCGAGGTCAGGAGTTTGAAACCAGCCTGAGCAAGAGTGAGACCCCGTCTTTACTATAAATAGAAAGAAATTAATTGGCCAACTAATATATATAGAAAAAATGAGCCGGGCATGGTGGCGCATGCCTGTAGTCCCAGCTACTCAGGAGGCTGAGGCAGCAGGATTGCTTGAGCCCAGGAGTTTGAGGTTGCTGTGAGCTAGGCTGACACCATGGCAGTCACTCTAGCCTGGGCGACAAAGCGAGACGCTGTCTCAAAAAAAAAAAAAATTACTTAATATGATTTCCTATTTCCCTGTAAGAAACGGGAAAACATAGAGACCTCAGATGACCAGACCTTGGGGCTGGGATGTAGAATCCCAGCAGCAAGGCTTTCATTCTGTTGCCGCTAAGGCAGCAGCAAGACCACTATAAGCCTCAAATTTCTCACCTGGAAGACAGCTGTAATACCCACCTTAACAGTGTTGTGGTGAGGACTTAAGACAACCACAGAAGGGACAGTGCTTTTTAGACAGTTTATTCCTAAATCAGAAGTGATGCCTAAATGAGGCACATCTTTTGCTTCCTAGTTCAGCTTTCTGGTCCCAACTTGCTGCTTCTAAGGTCAACTAAAATTAATTGGCTGGAAGTTTTCACCAGTTTCACTATTATCCTTGCAATGGAAACTTGAAACACAGGTGCCTGTAACAAGGAAATACAACTAGAAGGGAGAGGATGATTAATCATTAAGAAATCAGAAAAGGTTGAGAAGGCAAACAGTGGTGGTGGAGGTTCTGTACGTGGACAGACCAGAATGAGATTTCTGGCTTCATTATTTACAGTGTCACCTTGGGCCCCCAGTTTCCTTTGGCAAACCAGTGTAAACATCTACTGCACAGGGCTAATATGAGGGTCAAACAAGTCAGTATGAGGGCACTGAGCAGGTTGCAGGAGTTAGATCCAAGAGTAACTCCAGACTTCCGCTCTTCTCGTGAAGGAGCCTAAGCAGCTGAAGTCTCTTTTATGCAGGTAAAGAAAGTCAAAGGGGACAATCTCGCTCAAAGTTGCCAAGGGAAGTGAACAGTTCCCCTACTTGAAAAGGCTT